AAGTTAAGCAAGATATTTGTATTGCATGTATTAAGTTTTTCATTCCTGTTAATTTGTTACTGCTGGTGGATAATCACTCTAAATTAGGGATCATTTGAAAATGCTTTATTTGTACCGTCAGTCAGTTCTATTTGAATTTTGTTTGAAAAAAAAATAGAACAATGGGCGATGAAATATTTATTTTCAGTATTTAATACTGTTTTTATTTCGAAAACAAAAAGAATATCGCTTAAAGAATTTAAGATAAAAACATCGGTAGTTAAAAAAATTCGAATATCGAAATGTTTTAATTTGCATGTATTCTTTAATCCTTATTCTAAAATAATGTTTAATATTTTCTGAAGATAATAATAAATATGAGATTACAAAATGTTAACTGATCAAGATATGTCTTGCAAATAGACGTATTTCAAGTATATTACGGTTCATTAGAATAATTATACCACGTAAAAATTTACAAAATGAAAGAGCCTTAATCATATACTTTGCTATATAATCTTCATAATCTTAACACCGTAATATATTGCTACGTATAATCAGAGTATTCTTAATCTTCTGCTTTATACTCATTTATATACATGTTGAGTAATACCTGCATATATAATATGTAAGATTGTTAACGCTCGTGATTGAAATAAATTCGTTCGAGCTTTGTTGAATATTGCACGTGGTGTGCCGACTAAATTCGTGTTTATTTTAAAGTAAATAACTATTTCCTTACTCGAAGGACCAGTCCAAAACTTGGAGAATGTTTATTTTAAAGTAAATAACTATTTCCTTACTCGAAGGACCACTCCAAAACTTGGAGACTATACAAACTAATACAAGATGTTGCTATGTCGAATATTGAGAAGCGAATGACATTTTTCTTATGAACATGAAGGTACGTTACACGCTTACAGTTTTTACATGGTGAGGGTGAGGGAAAAATACTTAATTTCTATTGGCTGTACAAATGGGGTGGAAATGGAGGCTTGTGACGTATGAAGAACATGGGTTTTTCCCAAAAAATGACCATAGCAAGTAATAAAACCAAGCAGTACCTCGACATAAATAGAAAATGAAAATAACGGACTCTACTGTTAAGCTTAAGGTTCTGGCAATCAGATGTAAGGCAATAAACTAAAATACTCGATACAATGTAACGACTCCTTGGGTGTTATTGCTGCTATAGGTAAAGAAATTAACCGAAGGTCTGACCCTTCGCTATGGAACTAAATTCTAAAATTTTAATAACGGGCCTAAACAAAGATTTTACTTTGTTTAGTCAAAATTTTGAGCTATTTTAATGTCATTAAATCGTACTACACTGATTGTTTCAGAATCATGTTTGATATACAACACCCGGATATTAGCATTTGTTTTCCCCGTTTAGTAATATTACATCTCAAGCTATCGTACAGAGTTTAATATTTACGGTATAAAAAATTTAACTGTGAAAACTTTGAACTTAAAATAGTTATATGAAACCGCTAAAAAAAAACTATACTTCACTTTTATATGTATGTACGTATACATACATATAAAATGTATATCTATTACATTTTGATGATAAATTGCATTAAGCCATCTGTTTAAGCCAATTTTGAAACATCAAAACATACGTGTACTCGTCAAAGCACATGTATATTTAATTTGTAATTGCAATTTATGGTAAAATCATAGTTTTTTATTTTGCTGATATCTAATCATAAATTGTGTTCATACATTACTTCAAGATAACCTGAAAATTACATAATATTTCCTAATTTGCTTTCAGCTCATTAATTCCTTTAAACTCGACTGCCGCAATATTTGTCTCTTAATTCAAGACTTTATTTAACAGTAACCCAAATTGAAGTTAAGATCAAGTATCTTTTGCCGAAACGTTAATGGAAGTCACGAGGAAAAAAATTTGTTTGTTTAAGTAACTACGACCCCTGTGTCTGCTAAGGTTAATGCGTACAAGGTAGACACTTATGTTAATTATTCCCGGTACAAATAAGATCGCGTGTTGTACGTCTATTAGAGGAGGAAACAACCGAAGGGCACGTAAGATTTTATCCTCCCTTTCGCTTTCCTTCAATAAAGAACACAGTACTTTTCCTCTTCTGCTCTTCGATCCACTTACCTCTTTATTCATGTTTATTTTCATCCCCCTATTTTCCGGGCTTGAAGTTTCCACTTGGATAAGGACGGGGATTCTCCTCTGATTTACCTACCGCCACGTAGGACAGCCATCGTAGTTCGTTTACGTTTCAATTTGGTTATTTTGTTCGTATAAATATTTGATGCCGTTCTGAAAGTCGCACCTAACTGGCGAATGAAATGTATTTTGATATCGTGATTCAACTGCTCTTGCGGAACCAAACGAATTCCCAGGGTTACTGTATTTCAAAGTATTTACATTTTATCGCTTCTTCGCCAACTCGAGCAATTTAGATCATAATATGACGTAATTTGGGCATAAATTGTTTTCTAAAATTGATACGATTAACGGTGTCTGACGTAAATAAATATAGGAAATATGAGGAATAAATCCTCTTCACTAATGATTATCATTTACTTTTATCCGTAAATGAAAGTTTAAATTAGAATGCGGATTATAGTCTGAGGACTGGAATAAGTCATTGACTTTATTGGAACTTTGGTAAAATATCATATTAAATTTTTACTATTAAATTACTTTTTGTCTAAATACTGTTCGATATAATACTATAAATAGAACTAATTCAACAGGTAGATAAGTAACTGTTTGCAGAAAACTAATTTAACTCCTTGAGTGACATATCGTCCATGTTTACAATTCACTTTATTTACGAAGTATAAATAGAATTAGTTATGTATAATTTGCATGTATCTATAACATTTGTAGGACAAAACAAATAATGATAGTAATTAAAATTACTTACCTAATCTTCTTCCGATTAAAATAAGTCCAATGGATTTATAAACATAATTTTCATTTGCTTCATTATAATTTAATAGATCATTTTTTAAAGAACACTGCAAATTTTACAAGTTAACCTTGAAAATTAACTACGCCTATTTTTTATCTAACTAATATCTATAAGTTGTTATAATGCATCGAAATCTGATTGTTCTTAATCTTTTGGTTTAGCTTTTTGGTTTCTTGAAAATCATTCTTATCAATTCAAGACTTATTTTCCATCAAAATGTTCTACCTTCGAAATATCTGCTTGAAAAACACCTTAAAAAGAGTCAGAATGTCGTAAAGAACACCTAATTTATATTTAGTTATTTATTTAACGTGATCAGTATTTTTCATGGTTTCGTATTTTATTTTTAAACAAGTTTATTTGTCTTACATCAAAACATATCTTTTAATAAATCAAACGAATTGAATATCATTGAATAATCATTATTTGATTGAATTGAATAATAATACCGTTTTATTTGTCTTAAATCAAGATGCATCTTCAAACAAAAAGAACAAATATATTCGATTGAATTTAATAACGTTGCCGTGCGAATAAAACGTTTCAACAGGCATTAAACACTGTTCTAAGGATTTCATTCAGTAAGATCAAAGACGTGCTATCTACCAGTGCTGTATTATTCTGAGGCTAATCCGAGTTGTCTCATTCCCCAACTGCAAGTGCATGAATACAGGGTAACATCGTGTTGTCATTAAATAAAAATCAATCAGAAGGTCGTGAAGGAGGCTTAACGGATTTGCTTAGGCCCGGTCGCCCACAGCTTAGTAGCGTTATAGGGGAAATGGTCCCTTCGCGACCTGCATCCATGTAGATAGTTCTCTAACGTGTTATGTATGTTCTTACACGGTTTCCATCGGTCCCTAGATTATATTGAATAACAGCAAAAACAATGATTAAGAATGTTTACTTTATTTGACACATTTACAATTTAATTGTTGCTACTTATGTACAGTCGAATTGAGTATTATTTGAAATAATATAATGGCACTTTCAAAGAACAAAGATATTTTTAAATAAAGAATATATTATTTATTCGAATAAATTTTTATCTAGAAATATAACTTAGGCGAATATAACAATGAATAATTGGGTATTCAAATTGTATTCCAAAATAATAAATGGCAACAAATTGTGTTTGTAATCAAATCTTACTTTAAATAAAAATGTCTGAATTAAAAATTACTTGTCATTTTACAAAATTTGGTTTTATGCAGAATTCATTATTTTTAAAACTTTGCTTTCATATGAAATTCGTTATTTTTAAAAATTTTTATTTATATGACATTTTTATTTTAATATGTATAAATAAATTTTTATTCGAAATAAAAATTGTTCTTGTTTCTCAAATTTCTCTACTTCGCTCGAAGTTTGACAATTATGTAAAATAATTCTCTATTCTGTATACAGTGAATGAATAAAGGTATTAAACGCATATGGCAATATAAGAAAATAGAGAAGTATTTAACCTTTTATGCGAGGTAGCACAAAATTGCTAAAACCGGGATAATATATTAATACGATCACAAAATACGAATTAAGAACCTATAATAATAATGAAAAAATGAAACCTGAATTTCTCAAACACTCGACTCATTTATAAGATGAAGGGTAAATTATAATTTATGCCTGTTTACATAAAATATTTATTCACTTACTATATTTGTATCGTGAACATACATTTATAAAAATAAATGGAATTATGCGGATTTAAAGTCTGAAAGTTACCTACTTGAATTTAAAGTAGGTTTTGTTTACTTCACTATCATCGTAAAAATTTTCATTTTATAATTTTTATTAATTTTCCTGTACGTTTTCGGAAGAATATACTTCTGCATATGATATGCTTCTTTTAGAAAAATTCTTGCCGATATTGTTCCACGGAAAGTCTTTCTATTATGGTTCTTATATTTTTAGCCAGTCCATAAAACAACATTAGGAAATTTTCGGCAAATTGTTCATTAATGATTTGATATTTCTAAAACATATTTTACAATTAGTGATTTACTTTATAAATAGAATAATACTGAAATATATAAATAGCGGATAATATTTTTGTTTTAGGCTATCATGTACGAGGGACAAGATAAAAATCCTGAGATGTGCAGGGTCCTTTTGACTCACGAAGTGATGTGCAGGTGAGTTACTCTTTAATCATAGCAATTTGTATTTCATTGCCCACATCCATCTAGTCAACAGAACTCCTTAAATAAATTGTCACTACACATCTGATATTGTAAATACCTCTTAATTTACATTAACAAATTATAACATTCTTTTTCAACAATAAAATTCTTAAATGTAGTCAATGGTTATAAAATATTGTAAATATGATACGCATATTAAACTTTTGTTTATTAATAATTAAAATATCCAACGGGGAACTGATATATGAAATTTAAAAATCAACTAATTATATCTTTAATAATTAATGTTTAAAAGCTTTGAATAGGAACTTTTGTTATTTTTTTTATCGCCAATTTGCTGGAAAACGCATCCGTAACGCAGCTGTATCTAGCGATTATACATGATACCTCCAGTATGAAATTTTCACCACGTCTAGTATATTTTGTTGATTTGTCAATAACATTATTCAGAAAAATTGTCTTATATATCATTGAAAATCTAAATGTCTCAATCAGTGAAATTTCTACTTACTCAGATTTGGAAGGTGTATGAAACATTAAGTACAAATATTCGGTAATTTTAAGATATAAATAATCAAAAATACATAATTTACAAATAAATTAGAATGCAAAATCAAAATTATTAAAACGTTATTGATGAAGTGTTGAAATTATTATTTGACTGATAGTTGAAAACCATCCACTGTATGTTTGCACAAAAATTTCTACCGGCGTATCTACCTCAAGATCAGACTTTTATTGTAAGCAAATATGTACGCACGTGGTAGAAGATTCCTGCTCTTCATGCAAGCAACCTCCCTTGCGGTGGCTAAACTATAAACGTAACGAGACATACGGGACTGCAGTCATTCTCTGGGGGTGGCTGACTCATTGGCCCATGGGATTTCGGTCTGACTACTCTACACCCCCAAAACTTGCAAAGTCCCAAGGGTTCCGGTAGTTTTTACACGACCTCGAAAGGCCTGACCCTTCTGGACCCTTCTCGAATCAGGTTCAAGAAGGAGCACACTTTCGACGTCGAAAATATGTACCGGAAGAATTACGAAATTATAATTCAAATTATAGAGATTTAATCAAGAAAATATTCTACATAGTTACTCTATAAAGCTTAAAACGAATCTTAAGATGTGAGTCAAATATTATGGAATTTAAAACTGTGGTAAATTTTTCTTTATAAAATTACCGATACTTAAGTTTAAACGATAGAATCAGAAAATCTCAATGCATTAATCGACATTAAATTCTTAAATATATTGCGAAGAAAAATAATGCATAATCTAACTCTTTAATTACTTTGTTTCGTTTTGTTATAGTCGGTGTTGCGATAAAAAAAGTTGTGGAAACAGAAATGAAACACCCAGCGATCCTGTGATCATCGACCGGTGAGTGATACTTTTAATATTTTTTTAATACGATTTAAATATAAGTAAAAATCTTTTGACTGCGAGTCGAATACAATTTTAATAAAAATTGTGACATTTTAACAAAATGATACGATTGTGCTTAGTTTCATTTACAAATATCACAACAAATATTATTTTTTAATTTAGTATGAAGACAAACATATTACGCTTGTAGCTCATTAAACATGCGTTTCAACTGTAGGACATGCAGTTACAAAATATCTCTGGAATTGAGACTATTATTTCCATTTATTTAATTTAAAAAGAATTTATGAGCAGGTATGAAAGAATGTCGTCACGGCATGAGTTTCCTTATAAATCTGGATTGTTTTTTCAACACCTCAAAATAATCAAGTAATATTATTGGATAGCTCTTTAACATTTAGTACGAAGTATCTGGCAGGGCTGGGGGCAGTCGGCGGCCCAATATCCGGACTGCCCACAATTATAACAATACTAAGAAGTATGCATAAAAAATCACTTAGGAGAATTGAGTTTTGATCGACTTTAACATACTAGGTTTTCTGTTTCTTTTTGTTTTAATTGTACATTATACAAATACACAGAATCTTAATAAATACTTAGTTTTGTAGGATATTATAACATTTTTATGGCTTTAGTATGGTTAATCTTATTTCTAATACAAATAAGATAATAAACGTAATATAAATAAATGAAAATAATGAAAATTGTTGAAGGGAATATGTCCTCGTATAAACATTTGCGGATCGCAAACAATTGAACCAACTTCATTTTGTAAATGCACAAATATCAACATCAGGTGCATCAACTTGATGACGCGAAAGAATTAAATATTATGTTTTATTACTTTCTGTGAAAGTGTGTTCTGCGATAAAATGTGTTACGAGATCAAGAGGACTGATTTCTTTTTGTGCATACATTGTCGGTTTAACATCACAAAAATTGTATGCACTTGATAATGAAGATTGATATTGAACAACCATAGGTTTTCAAAAATTAATCAAAAAGCTAGTATGTGCTCGAAAAATGTGTTCTTTAAATCACCTATTTTCAAATTACCGTACAATATAAATAACAAAATGTTCAATATTTAACACTGATGAAAATGAAATTTTATTTAAAATTAATATTTATTTTTCCATCCATCGCTATTTTGCCAATTTTACAATTTTCGCTTTGAATTGGGACTCTTTACTTAAGTAGATTTTTAAAAGCTGAATAACCTTTTTTGTTTTAATTAATAAATGTTCCAACTTCCCAAATACCCATTTGTCATTTTGAAAATCCACAAACTTCCAAATTACTGAGCTGCTACATTTGCAAATTATATTATACTTTATATTTCACTTTATTTCCCAAATGTCCAACTTGCGAAATTTTAACTTTTCTATTTCTCGAATTTCTCAAACTGTCAAGCTCTAAATCTTCAAATGCCTAAAGTTAAAAATTTCCAGGTCTCTGAATATGTACAGGGTGTAACAAAATGTTTTGTCATGGCTTCACCAGCTGATTCTACAGCTTTTAATCGGTGAAGATCTGTAAAAAAAAGTTGCCACAAAATTGACCTTGACGGAAAATGTCAAGGTCAAATTTTTTTATTGCATCGTATAGTACTCACTCGATAAAACAAAAGTCTTAAAGGCACCATAGGTCGCAAATGAATTCTGCACTTGGAAAACGAGGTTAACCGTTTCTAGGGTTGTCCTCTGCGTCTTGAGTGGTTTCTTCTTTATCACAGTATAGAACTATCGACATTTATGCACCTTAACAATCGTACTTGATTACCGGCTTCAATATGTCCACCATTACTGCGTAGATACGTCCTCAATCTTTCTTTCAAATTGTTGCGAACATTTTCATAAATATTGGAAGTTTGCACCACACGGCGAAAAGCGTTTTTTATTCGCAATTTCAATTGCTCCATACTTGTAATTTGTTGGCCTGACCGGTAAACAAGATTCTTTACTGCTCCCCAAAAGAAAAAATTCATAGGTGTAAGATCGGGAGAGCGAGGCAGCTACAAATGAGGTGCTGGTCTACGACCTATCCACCTAGTTCCAAACATTTCTGATAAAAATTCACGTACCGACCTAATAAAATGCGGTGGGGCACTATAATGCATAAAATAAATTTGATGACGTCTATGATGTGGTATAACTTGTCTCAACCATGTTATGAATCGCGTGCGAAGAAAATTAAGGTAACGTGTTCCGGTTAAGGAGTTATATATGGTTCTCAATGATTCCTCCCCACACATTAATTGAGAAACGGCCTTGATTAAATGTTTGAATCATCGCGTGTGGGTTTCTACGTGCTCAGATTCTAGTATTCTGCGAATTTTGGTAACTTGTGTTGGAAAAGTTACTTTTGTCTGTGAAACACACATTCTCAAGAAATTGTGGATCGCGATCTAATTTTCTCAACATCCAACGACAAAATTTGCGTCTCATGGAGTAATCTTGGCGTTGAAGTGCTTGCACTTTCCGAACGCGATATGGACATAGTCCTTCGTCACGAATAATACGATGAACAGTCATATGAGAAACACCAACCCGACGTGCAATATTGCGTAAACCCATAACGGGATGAGCATACGCAAGTGCCATAATACGCTCCTCTTTCCTCCAGTGAACGCGCGGTCGTCCTGCCCTTCCATATCCACGATTAATAGTGACTTCCAAGTCTTGAAAGCGCAGGATTCATTTGCGACCTATGGTGTCTTTAAAACTTTTGTTCTATCCAGTGAGCACTATACGATGCAATAACAAAATTTGACCTTGAAATTTTTCGTTAAGTTCAATTTTGCGGCAACTTTTTTTTACAGATCTTCACCAATTAAAAGCAGTAGAATCAGCTGGTGAAGCCACGATAAAACATTTTGTTACGCCCTGTACACTTGCAAACCCCTGGTTATCCATGTCTCACAACTCTAAATTCCAAAGTTCCCAAGTTTCAATGTCCCTAAATATCTAAGTCTTCAAATTTCTATCTACACATATTGCTAAGTCTCTAAATCCCGGAACACACAAATTCTTACCTCTAAATTTCTATATGCAAATTTTTAAATCATAAAATATCTTAAGGACCAAATTTCTTAAGGTTCTTAAATTCGTATACCTCCGAATTCTTAACCAATTTCTTGACCTTGTTCCCTTTATTTGATATATTTTCTCTATGGGACAGATTTGCTTCAGATCAAGGATCTGAAGTCCTTGCAATATGACAAGAATGCACTATGTTCAGTATATCTATAATTATGTACTGCGAATAATTTCTATGAATTTGTACATAAAATGTTTGATAAAATTGAATAATCGCAGCACACATATTTGCTTCAACATAACAGAAGCTAACGGCATTCACCACTTTCGAATAAATACCAATGTGTGGAAAGCGGGAAGGAAGTACGAAAAAGCTTGTTTGTACTGGAATCGTAATTGAAGATCGAGGGCGGAGTAAAGAAGCTCTATTGGATATTTTCTTCAGCATTTGTAGACAAACAGATAAGCCGTCCGATTTCATAGAAACGTCAACGACCGTGATATCAGTTTACCACCCTCGCTATCGTTCTTCTCAAAGATCTGCAAAGTAAGGGAACCAGATAACTCGTTCTTGCAGGTACCCACCTGCAAGATAGCGTCTAGGAACCAGGGATATTTAGGCTTGCAAAATACGTTTCGTACGAGGTGTGGTGAGACTAGTAGGTGTAAGAGCACTCGAATGCTTTGGTCGTGCTTATACCGCCTTCACATTCTACATGGTACTGCTTGTCCTTAGAAATACGGACATACATTCTTTCTCTTCCTACTCCATGGTGCCTGTCTCTTTCTCTCTTGAAACCTGACTAACGTTGGGAGTAGTAGGGTGAGCCTGGTATCTGAATAGGCTATAGAGTGTCCTGAGATAGGAACGGTAGGAAGGAAGAGGTTTCCCGCGGGACCCAGGCCGAGATAGTCTTCAGGAGGACATCTTGTGCTCAGAGGTGCTCAACCCCCCCGGTTTTCGATACAACGATGTCTTGGAGCTTTCATCCTCATCCAGAGGATATGTATTTCACGTAGGTGACAAGAAAAGCCTAACGGGCTTGTACCTTTACCTATTTTTCTACTCCCTGCAGTCTTTTCCAATCCTCATACACTGGATTTAAGTAGCCTGCTCTTGCTATAAAAGTTATTTATTGCAGTTGAAGGAATAGGCTTTTCAATTGATGGTGTACGATATTGCATGACTAGTGTGTGAAAATAAAATAGTATAAAGTATAGAGGTGTCTTGTCTACATTTTTCTTTTCTTTGCACAGTGACCTGATTTGTGCCCTTACTTACGCCACTGTAAATAGCAATGAGAGAGATATTTAATTCACATATAGTTTCGCTGGATTTAGAATCGATCGACGTAGAAAATACATTTAATTTTTAATTAAAAATGCAATTAAGAAATGCACAATATCACGTAAGTCAATGTACAAACCTGAATTATTTACTTTGAAGAAAAAAGACACAGATTTAAAAAAAAAACACTTTAACAAATTTTTTAATTTAATAAGAGAACTTGTAAAATAGCTATTTGATCGCTTTAGTAATTTTACGAATCGCTTTTAGCGTCTTATACGAAAACATACATTAACGTACACAATAGAATGAATTATTCATAAACTGAATAATTAGTCTCTAATATAGCACTTTACATTATTACTTTAATAAGAGTACCACAAAAAGTGTCATCTTTCATTTCCTAGTAATTGTATTAATTCAAATTTAATCCATTAGATCCATTTAAAAAGACATCAATGACCTTCATGTGATCACGCGCTCACCTGAAAGGAATTAACTACGCAAAATTATTCCCATTTCAAAATAGATCAAGTTTTGTTTAAAACGTTTTTTTATTAATGGATAATTTTAAGGATAATTGTAATCGTAATGGGAATGAGGCACACTGTATATATTGAATATGTAAAATATAAAAATTAATTTAATACTGTTAATTAGTATAAAAG